CGATGGAAAGCGACAAGCACTGATGAGGATGGAGAGACAGGAACCCTCCTATGTTGCTGGCGGGAATATAAAATGCAGCCAATGCAGAAAACAGTTTGGCAGATCCTCGGCAAAGTTAAACACCAAATTACCACATGACCCAGCAATTCCACTCCTAGGCATATACCCCAAAGAACTAAAGGCGGGAACTCAAACACACGTGTCCAAGCACATTCTCAGCAGCAGGGGTCACGGCAGCGAGGAGGTAGAAACAGCCCAGATGTCTGCCAAGAGAGAAACAGGTACACGGGCTGTGGTCCAGCTGGTCGTCACTACTTGCACATTCCATGTTTTCATCTTCCTCTATTCACTAAAATTCACTTATAAACCCCAAATCAGTACTTGTGGCTCTCACATCCACTCACAGATACACGTGGAGTTGTGAAAGGCGAGCTGCCCGCACCCTCGTCTCCAGCTGCTCGGCCTTCTTCTGCAGTTCTCACACTAAACAGATGTCCTCCTCCCAGTGCCATTTTTACCGAATGTCTGTGCTTCTGCTATCTGAAATGGCCCCAAGCCCAGGGCTGAAATGCTGTCCAGGGTTCTTAAGTGCAAGGCTGTGATGTGCCTTACAAAGAAAACATGTCCGTTAGACAAGCTTTGTTCAGGCATGAATGATGGTGCTGTTGGCTGTGAGCTCAATGTTAATGAATCAACAATGTACAGTAAATAAGGAGTCTTCAAACAGAAGCACCCATGAAACAAAATTATGTATCACTGATTGACAAAAATGTGCCCCGCGGCTTGCGGGAACTTAACCCGTTAGTCCCCTTGTAGCAATGGTTCAGTCTCCACTAATTCAATGTTCAGGGTGACCCGACAGAACATAACTATTTCAGGTAATGAGAACTGACTGCACATCGTGTATGTCTTCACACAATGGAGCATCTCATTCAGCCATAAAAAAGGAGTGAAGCACTGATACTCACCACAACGTGGATGAACTTTGAAAACATATGCTAAGTGAATGCAGTCAGACACAAAGGGACACATATTGGATGATTCTTTTTGTATGAAATGTCTAAATTCATAGAAAGCAGATTAGAGGTTGCCAGAAGATGGGGGGAGGGGATGAAAAATCTGAAAGGAGAGCGTTGACATTAGGAATGCACTAAATGTCACTGAACTGTACACTAAAATGCTTCATTATACGCTATATGAATTTCACCTTAATAAAAATTTTATTTCACAATTGTGGTATCATAGAAAGAACTTGGTCTTTGTTCTGCTGAATTCCTGGCACAGATCTCCTAAAACCCCTGGAACTTCCTGAGTGAAGGGGTGATGGGAGTGCCCTTTGTTCTAATAGGGCAACTTTTGGCCTCCAGACAGCCTCACGATGGGGCTGGTACCCAGAAAGACCCAGTCTTGATTAAAAGTTCGGAACTTTCATCTCGCTCCTGACCTCCCACCTCTTGGTGGGGGAGGGGTGCTAGAGATTGACTTGATCAACAGTGGCCAATGATTTGACCATGCTGACATAATAAAGCCTCCGGAAGACATGTGAACGCAGAGTTTGGAGAGCTTCAGAGCACGTGAGTACAGAGGTGCCAAGAGGAGCAGGCATGGGAGCTCCACCCACCCCATGCCACGCCCCCTGCACCTCTCCCACCTGGCTGTCTGAACTGTATCCCACACAATAAACCCGTAACAGTAACTAAGTGCTTATCAGAGTTTTGTGAGTTGTTCCAGCAAATTATGGAACCCGAGGGGGGCGTGGGAATCCCCGATTCACAGCCGGGCTGTCAGAGGTGCAGGAGGCCCAGACTTATGACTGTCGTCTGAACAGGGAACAGACCCGTGGGGCCGAGCCCTTAACCTGTAGGGTCTGCGCTGACTCGAGCAGCTGGTGGCAGAACTGAACTGAACCGCTGGACACCCCGACAGCATGTGCAGAATCAGAGCCAGAGGAGCGGTGTCGGGAAAGACACTGCGCGCCCGGTGTCAGCAGCGGTGTGAGTGAAGAGCCCTACGACGCACAGCCTTTACCTTTACAGTCAGACGACCCTCCTTCTCCGCACTTTCTTTCTCCTTTAGGGGAAAGGAGTGGCTTATCTGTAGAGGCACATCCTGCCAGCAGGTCAAACGGGATGTGGCCTCAGATAAGTTCCAGCACCAAACACCACGTAAAACAGAACCTCTTCATTTCACAACCAGCACCACATCCAGAGTCAAGTGTGGCTAAAAACGCCTCACGCTCACACAAGAAAATGTCCCGCATCTGAGAAAGCGCCCTTTCTGCTCTGGGTACAGCCTGGACCCCCCAGGCCCAAGGGCCGCACAGGCTGCTGGCCGCACTGACCCCACTCACCCAACTCGCTGGGACAAGGCAACACCACGTCAGCAGTGACAACAACAAACGCGCAGGAAACGCTCACTCCAGGCCGGGCGCGAGGCCCGTCTCTCCCAATCTTCCCACGGGCCCTGAGCAGCAGATGCGACGAGGCACCCTTCTGGTGGACAGAGGAACCGGGGCCCAGAGAAGAGACCTAGCCACGGTCGCTCCCCTCTGCTCACCATGGCAAAGCTCAACTCACCTCCCCAACAGGTGAAAAGCTGTGGCTAAACACCCCCCCGCAGCCCTTGCCTACATCAGGGCAGAAAAGTCATCAGCAGATGGGCTCACGTTGGCCCCGCTTCACATGGCATCCCACACGTGGAGGAGCTGCTTCCGTAGTGACCCGGTACTCAAGGGTGCCTGTGTGACCATCACAGAACTTCCACAGGGACCCACGTTCAGACATTTGTAGAAGAACATGATACATAAAATAATTCTGTCCCTGTCACCCAGAAGCAAGCAAAACCCAGAATCCACGAACGGCTGTCATTCTGGGTCACGGCTGTCTGGGGTATTTAAGCAATGGGCACACGTGAGCACATGTGAACACAAGTGAACACACGCTCTGCTGGCTCAAATCTCAGCTCCGCCAATCACTGTGCAGACTTGGCCAGGTGACTGGGGACCCAGGAGCTCCTTCATCCAGACAAGGGATCACCGTCCTTTGGGACCTGTCTGGGCACTAAGAAAGCACCTGCTTGGCAGAGCGCCTGGCACCTCACAGGACCTTGATGGGACCCACACCCCTGCACCTTTCCATGGTGGCCTCGCCTCCCGGGCTCTCGGTGCTGGGCTGCCCTCTACAGCCCCGAGGGCAACACCACCAGGAACAGAGAATGCGGGTAACAGGAGGCGGGCACACGAGAGCAGATGGCCTCTGCCCTGAGAGGAAGAACGTGGCAGTCCAGCTCATGCAGCATGGCAGCCCCAGCAGACGGAATAAACAGCCACGCGTGGTGGCTGAGCGTGCTCTTCAGGTGGCCTTACTGTCTCCCCAGCCACCCACGGGGACTCCACCATCACCCCATTCACATGGTCCCCCATGGGAGCTGGAGAGGCCAATGCACACCTGCCCCGGGACTCGCCCCAGCCCCGGTCCTGCCTCCACGGTGCACACGCCCTTCCCCCACCCCCAGAGCACCCAGAGGCCCGCCTGGCCTTGCCGCCCCCAGCATGACTTCTGATGCCCGCCCCTGCCCCATTCCAGGCGCAGCCCCCTCCCCTCCACTGAGGAGATGGAGCCTGTGACCGACCATGCTGACAGGCCGGGCTCTCCTCCCAGCACTGGCCAGGCACCGGGACTCTCAGGTCCCAATGTCCGAAAAGCTGCGGGGTTGACCCACAGGCCCCACAGCCAAATACCACTGAGTGGCACCAGCTAAAATGTTACTTGATGCCCAGGGGGCCACACACCTGAGCTCCACTCCCAAAGGCCCCTGACACCGGCAGTGGTTCTCAGAACTGAGAATAAACAAGGGACTCATAAAGTGGGCAGTGGCCCCGCGGGCCTCCCGGGAGATGTCCCTCCTGAAAGATGGCAGAGCTGCCTGCAGTCAGTCTAGCCGGGTGAGAGCACCCCACCAGGGCCAAGCCACCTGGGAACCAGGAAAGGTCACCACTGGCCTCACGGTGGCACCTGGGAGGAGCAGAGGCAGGCTGCCAGGAAGGCAATTTTTAAATGTTAGTTATTGTGATTAAAAGAAAAAAAAGCTGTAGTCTGACTGTGTCCCCACCAATTTGTATGTCGACTCCTACGCCCCCAAGTGGCGGTGCTGGGAAGTGATCTGGTCATGAGAACGGAGTCCTCAGGAACGGGGTTAGCGCTTTCAGAAAAAGAGTGCACGGACCTCTCACCACCTCCCCACGTGAGGGCACAGCGAGAAGGCAACAGCCCTGAGGGGGCCCGCGCCCGCCCGCCCGCCCGCCCGCCCGTGACCCAGGGTCGGGGCCGGCCTCCCGAGCCCTGGGCTTTGAGTGCCAATTGTTTCTGAGCTGCCCAGCTGGTGCTATTTTGTCACAGCAGCCTGAGCGAAGACTATTCCTACTTTTTTTTCACCATAAATGTTCAGAAAATATATATGGAGAGAAATGTGATCCCACCACCCACATTACCTTTGTTAATGTCTTTTATATATATAATTCCTCTTTACTACAAATAATATACATGTAACTTGCTTTTTTCACTCAACCACACTAAAAACTCTTCTCCCCAAGGGCATCAAAGATTCCGTTCAGAAGACGCATAAACACACCTGCTGTTGGACACCTAGGCAAGCCCCAGACCTTCGCCTCTCTCCCCTCGTGGTGGCCACCCCTCTAGGGCCATCCACTGACTCTGGCCCTGACACAGCATGTGGAGGCTGAGCCAGGGACCGTGCTACCGTCAGGACAACTAATGCGGACATGGCCAGCCCAGTGCTCCTGGAGAGGCCCCGCCCATGTACACCCCCACCTGCCGCCATCACACGCCCCCCTTTTTCCAGCCCCACGCCGCCACAGGAGAGATGGATGCAACGCAATGTCTTTGCTACAGATTCCAACATCCGCCCATCACCCATGCCCCGCCGGCCCCGCTGCCTCTCGTGGACTGTGCGTCCTCCTTGCTGCTACTCCGGCACCCTACCTTGTTTTTGAAGTAGACCTCGATGGGCATGATGAAGCCAGCGTAGCCTGACTCCTCCACTTTGTACGGGGGCTCCTTGCACACTAGAAAGAAAGGGAAAGCGCACCGTCAGTGACCGGCAGCAGCAAGCACCTGCCCTCCTTGCCTTCTCTCTGGGGCTGAGCTGGCTGGTCCAGAGGCCAGCTCCCAGGAGCGGAAATCTCAGGCCCCATCCCATGTCAAAGGGGTCACAGGGGACAGAAGGAGCTGAGCAGGAGAAAGGTGACCCCGCCATGCCACAGTGGGAGAGCGGGAAGGGGAGTGAGAGCAGCTGAGCTAGAGCTGCCAGAGCCGACGGCTGCACCAGTCCAACAGACTCACGGCAGTGAGCAAGGCCTGGCTCAGGTGCCAGGCCTGGGGCCCTGGCCTGCCAGCAGGGCAGCACACTCTGCTGCGCCCACCTCCTTCCATCGTCCACTCAAACACTGAGATTGAGGCCCCGGCTGGGGTCAGGGACACGACCCTGAAAGATGAAGATAGAGATTCCCTGGTCTCAGCTGGGGCTCGCCTGGGTTCCACCTTAGCACCTAGCAAAAGCATTCCCAAGTGACAAGAACAGACTCGTTAACCCCAGAAATATAAAAATAAGAAAAAAAAAGAAGGAAGAAGGAAGGAAAAAATAAAGAGACTAAGAGGAACAGTAAAATACAGGTTACAGTAACCTCCTGCAGTCTCACCCTCCAGGATGAACTGTCAGTGTTTTGACACGTATGCTGATGTCAGTAACGTGAAAATACTGTCCTCCCACTTATAAGAAAAAAATCAGAACAGTACAGATTAAACCCCCCTGTCCCCCACCGCTCCCTCTCCAGAGGCAACTGCTTCTGGGAGATAGGAAAACATCCTGCCAACTGTTAAAACCTTTACATACATCTTACTACACAGGCAATTCTTAAGTGGGCCAGAAATTGCTGGAAAATAATGCATGGAATATAATGAAATGTGACTTTTTAAAAATTAAAACCTTGTAAGATTAAAAAAGAAACTTCAAATATCATAAACCTCAAACATCTCACGTATCTATGCAAACAAAACCGGCGCGGAGGGTGAGTTTAGAATAACTAGAGACCCTCAAGGCCAGTGCTGGCTGGAAGCCTCGTGCAGGACCCCAGGCTGCAAACCGCAGAGTGGGGGGGGACTTGAGCTTAGGCTCCTGGAGCCCCCACTGGCCCCACAGACAGAAGCTGCAGGGACAGACACGGGTGTGAGCCAGCTGTGGCTCCAGGAACCTCCCCTCAGGGCCCCCTCTGGCCACCTGCCTCCAGCCGGGCTCCAGCCCCCTCCCCGCCTCCAGCGGGGCTGTTCCAGCTCCAGGCCCCCGCCGCGGGGAAAGCTCCCAAGGACAGGGCCTTGCACGTGGCTGGGATTCGAGGCTTGCTCAATTGGACTGACTTCCCCACCAGGGGAAACAACCATGGGCCCAACTGAAGCACAGCCTCCTGGGGGCCAGCAGTGACCCCAGCTGGGCACCCTGAGCACCATCACCTGACCTCCCCATCTACATGTGAATCACTGTTGCTACCAAACCCAGCAGTGACTGCATTCAGTCATTCACCCCTCTGAGACCCACATCTGACAGTGTCAGGTGCTCGATGATGACAAAGGCCAAGGGGACACCTCCAGTCCCCAGGAGTAAGCTCGGTCACCCTCAGTCTGACCAACAGCCCACCGGAAGTAAGGCGTGGCTCTGCCTGTTAGACCACAGGAGGTTGTCCAGGCAACCTGGAGACACCATGGGGGGTGACCTCAGCCCCAAATCTCTATTCTAATCAGTCTCCTGCTCCTCAGACGTCCTCCCATGGGTGCTGGATGGGCACCTCAAATGCAGTCCCCCCAAACTGCCTCTTCATTCCCTCTTAAATCTGCACCTCCCCAGTGTCCCTCAGCTCTGGACCCAGGCTGCCCACCAATCACCTGAGGCCCCCAGGACACCTCAGCTCCTCCCTCTCCTGCAGCTTGCTGTCCCCAAGCACCATGAAGTCTTCCTCTAAACATCTCTGGACCACACCTCCACCTGGTGCCTGTGCCTCCAATCCAGCCCAGGCGCCATGCCTCTCACGGGGGTCTCTGCCCAGCACCTCACCAGCTGGCCTGCCTCAGGCTCACTCAAGGTATCTTCTGCAGGCAGGATTGTTCTGAATCACAAATCCATGCCTCTTGATGGCTCCCCACTGCCCTCAGGACTGACTTCCAGCCCACTGAGGGGGCCTGCAAGTGCTCCATCACCTCCAGCCCCATCTCTTACTAGCCCATCCTCAGGTCCTAAAAGCCAGCCACACTCTCAGATCGCAGATCACCTCCTCTGGGGACCCATCTCTGAGCAGCAGCCCCTGCTCTGGGAACCCCCTTGCCCCCCACGCATCCTGCATGTCTCACTCACAGGACTTCTCCTGCTTACTGTGTCCATCTTCCTCAGTCCTACCTAAGCTCCTTCTCACTTAGTGTGACATCCCCAGGGCCAAGACCAGGGCCAGACCTTTTGGAGACATTCAACAAGTACTGCTGAGCGGGCCACATGTCATGCCTCTGTCAGGTCCTCTACTGAAGTCAGAGGCAGGTCCAGGAACAAGGAGTAATCTGGACAGGGAGGCCGGGTCATGGCCCATCTCTCCCCGAGTCTCTCCCGCTGCATGAACGCTTTCCCCAACCCCACCAACCGTGAGCGCACTGCAGTCTGCCCTCTGTGTCCAGACTCAGCACGAGACCACACACCCAGCAGGCACCTGAATACTTGCTGAACAAATCCGCACGTGGGAAGAGGAGTAGAAGCAGAGCAGGGAGGAAGGGCAGCCTAAGCTCACTGCACAACCCCCAACAGAGGGCGCAGGCGAGGGGGCGCCAGGGGGCTTGCCCGCACACCCCACCCCTGCACCCATCTCCTCCCCACCCACTCTCAGTCTAAATCCCTCAGCCATTAAGGCCCGCATCGGGGCCCACCTCCTGACAAGAAAGGACCTGGTTTCCCTGGACTCTGACCTCTGGTCACTTACACCCACTGAGGGCAGTTATCTTTCCAAGCATACGTGTCACCTCTGACCTTGATCACTCTAACAGACAACAAACCCCTTCAAGGAAGGGACTCTACTGAGCGTTTCTCAATCTCTCTGAAGGCTTATCACACGACAGGCATTCCAAGACCGAAAAACATCTCATCCTTTCAGAGATGGGGCAGAGGGGCCAGAGGACAGGCTTCCAGATGCGCGAGACTGAGCAGATGCACTGGCCTGCTGTCCCCCCTCAGGGCCCACGGAAACCAAAGTGATCCCAATATGATACAAGATAACCAGCAGAGTAAAGAGGGGAGGGAGGTGATGTGAGCAGCCAAGAAATTTCTAGAAGGCAGAAAGTAAGTGAGAGTGTGCCGGGCAAGGAACAGGAAGAGGAGGCTGCAGCCCAGAAGGCAGCACGGGTGCCGCAGGGCAGGCGGGAGCCTGGCCAGAGCCAGAGCCCCAGCAGGAGGGGGCTGTGGCGTCCACAGGCCCCGTGGAGGGTGGGGTGGGGCTGGGAGAGGAAGAGGGGGGTGACTAATGGCGGGAACAACAGTCCTGGGGGTCCCTCCCGTCATCGCCCCCACCCTGGCACAGGCCGTTTCATGCCTCCTCTGGGAAATCCAGATGGTTCCATGTCTTGCGAGAAAAGTCAACCATCTAGAGGAGGCGAAAGCTTATGATGTAAAAACTGGACCCCAGAGTAAAGCCCTCCTCACTCAGGAAGTTTGGGGGCCCAACCTCCCTAACCAGAAGCCCACTGGTAAACAGAACCCATCCTGCCCTAAACAGAGCACTCAATACGCAATCCCACCTGGAGGAAAGAGACCAAAGAAACAGGAATACTCTGCAGACCACAAGAGAACTTGGGAAAAAGAACAAAAAATAGAGCCAATGTCCTCAGATTCAACATGCCCAACAAATGAAAACAAGATACTTTTCAAAAGGAAAACTAAAGAGTAAGAAAGGGCTCTTAGATATTACAAATATAGTACTTACAATTTTTTAATTCAACAGAAAGGTCAGAAAATAAAGTTGAGGAAATGTCCCAGAATGTAGAGCAAAAAGACACATTCTTTTAAAAAGGTGAGCCACACAAAAAAACTCAGCAGATGAAACAACTGTCAACAGTGGCTACTATTTATAAAACACCTACTGTGTGTCAGGCAGTAGTCTCAGCACTTGGTACAATATAACTCATGTAATCCTTCCAACAACCTTATGAGGCAGATGCAACTGTTCCCACTTTACAGATGAAAAGATTTAATTACAGAAAAGTTATATAATAAGCATCCTAGAAAGAGAAAACAGAAAATAAACAGATGGAAAGAAATTGTCAAAGAAATAGAAGAAGAAAACTTACAGAGCTAGAATGAAGGACACCAAGTGTCCAACATGATGAACAAATAAACAAAAAAGATCCCAGGAACAATGTCATAAAAAAAAATCCTGTATGTTTTCAGAGAAAAATCAAAAAACAAACAAACAAAAAACAGGTCACCTACAACAGAAGGAGAAACCAACAGCTCTGGACTTCTCCGAAGACAACGAAGCAGTTCTTCGGAAGCTCTAAGTGATAGTAATTCTCAAACTAGACTATTATTCCCAACTAAACCTCCATTCAAGTGTGGGCGCAGGACAGCAGCACTTCAGATATATTGAGAGCCAGAGTTTACTCCCCACATACCATTCTTTTGAAACTGCTTCAGTAATTAATCTCTTGGGATATTTCCTGAGAAATTACCTAAGTAAGACAGGAAATAAACCAAAACATAGGGTAACAGGTAAATCCCCCCAGGATAATAGTAAAGTCCCACAGAGATGACTGAAGAGGCGGCCTTGAGAGGAGCCAGCTCTGATTAGAGGAGGAAGAGACCAGAATGAAATATCCAGAGGGGGAAAAACTCCACCGAATAAATGGAATGATGCAGAGGATGGGAAAAAGGCGAAGCACCTCTGATGAAGATGCAGCACAAGCGGGGAGAAGAAGCAAAGGGTGTTCACAAAGCCACGGGCCAAACATGAAGCAAAGTAAACAGGGCCAAACTTTAACCAAGGATGATACAAAGGGCCCATCTGACCTTGACGTGACCTTGAATGTTCTCCTTGGAGTGGCCCAGAGTTCACAGAGAGGATCCGGACCAGCCCAACAGTGGAGAGAGTCAACAGTCAGTGCCCTTCGCTGGCTGCCAACTTCTAGACTTAATCTCCAATCCTGGAGCAGAAGCCTCGAGATTTCCATTGAATAACCTTAACAATGTCAAGTGCAGCTCCCAGGAGGAGGGGTGTAAGGCTCAAGGTGCTCCTGCCCTTCTCTTCCCAGGTGGAAAGTCAGGAGACCTTGGCCAAAGTTGACAGCGCTGAAGAATCCATTTATTCATTCAACAAATATTTAGTCAGCACCTACTGTTTCCTTTCAGCACCAGGGACACAGCAGCAAACTGTATGGCAAGACGGGCGATGGAGGGGGTGATGGACAAGATAGATAAGTAATACATAAGACACTTTAGCACGATGCAGAGAAAAATATAACAGACAGAGGCTAAGAAGCACGCGGCTGTGTGGGTGTGTACTGAGCAGAGAAAGGGCGCGCGAGCCGGGCAGGTGAGGGCTCCCAGAAAGGGAGACAGAGCCTCCGTGGAAGGCCCAAAGTTAGGCGGGCTCACCTCACTCACTCACAGAGACAGTGGCCGCGAAACATTATCACTTAACACGAGGAGAGGAGATGGTGGGTGAAAGAGGTCCCAGCTTAGGAGAAAGTCAAACCCTCCATGTTAATAAGTAAATAAAAAAAAACTTTTAATGTGAAAAATCTAGAAATAAGAAGCAAATGGGCTTCTACTGCTTTAAAGTGTTAAGGCAGGACATAACCCAGAAAGGACTAGAAAGGTTGTCCTAGGGAGGTTTCACTGCTGACGGAATGGGAGGTGGAAATGTCCCACCTGGCCCATCTCTGCTGGGTGTGTTACAGGTATATACCTGATTTACAAGACACTTTTTAAGCACATAAAGTATCATTTCAGAGGCTGGGGCAGAGTCCTGTAAGAAACTCACTGGATCCTTCACCTGATCCATTTTTCCTTGACAACAGTGAGTAGGCGTTTACATTTGACAGGCGATGCAGCTGCCCACTGTGTACAGGCTGCACGGACACACTGCAAACAAGCGCGGTTCAGCTACTAATTTAAACTCTGAAGGCAAACTGACACTTCACAAGAGTGAGCTCCACTCAAAACCCAGTTTTCAGACACTGGGAGACTGAAGGATGTGCCATTTCCACGTGATCACGAACAGGTGCCTGGGCCTCTCTGGACCTCAGTTTCCACATCTACCTGGCTGGGATCCTGGGAGGCCCTGTGACGCAGAGCGGCCAAGAGCACAGTACACGGCACAGAGCGAGTGCGGGACAAACAGACGCTATTAGTATTACTTTGAGCAGCTGTTTGGTGATGGACCTGGAGGGGAGGAAGATGAAATAAGCAGGTGGGTGGGAATCATCATCCTGGGCCCTCCCGGAAAGAGCAGGGCGAGGGAGGTGGTGAAGGAACTGGAGTGGCAGCTGCCTGAGAAAGCAGGCGCCCACGCCAGGACAGGGCACTGCGACCGCTGGCTCCCAGAACGAAGGGGCGTGGCCCAGCGCCAATAAAAACAGGCAGGCCCCGCCCACAGCACGGCAGACTCCACCCCCAGCGCGCTCCCGGGATTGAAAGCGCAGGCAGCTTAAGACCCCTGGGCCTGCTCCCCATCTGTAAAAGAGGGTCGTGGGGAGCAAGAAAGCGGCTTCTCAGCAGGACGAGCCCGGTAAGTGGCATGTATTACTGTTACCAAGAGGTGCTTTACAGACACCTGCTATTGTCGGTAACCAGATCTGCTCTCTCCAAGGGGCTCAGAGAGGAAAGACGGAAAAGGGGAGAAGATGAAGATTCAGGAAAGGAGAAACAAAGGAAAGGAACAGCTGAAAGCTGACGGAAGAAACCAAAAGCAAAAGAAATGGCTACTGAGCCACTTAGGAATCTTGACTGCCTTCCCTTCTGAACCAGGAGTTCCTACTTCGTAGCACTCGGGGTCTCCCTGCTAAACGGTAAGACGCTGGCTCTGCCTCCTTCCAACTATGGGTAGAGGGGTCAGGGGCCCAGCAGCAGCTCTCCCATCCCTGAAGCACTTTTCTGGCAAACAGTCCTTCATTCCTTTATCTACACAACCACTGAAGAAATATTTATTGGAGCCCGTGAGGTGCCGGGCTTCACGGGGTGGGGGGCCTGAATGGTGAAAACAGCTGACATGCCCTGGCCCCCCAAGAGCTCACAGGACAGCCACAGACTTCACTCCAAATTCCCCGTCAACTTCCCCAGGCAGGGCTGTCCCGCCCCGCCCGCTGGAAGAGTTCCCGCCTCTGCCCGGCCAGGCTGCGGCCACAGGGAACCCAGTTCTTTGTGGACCTCACAAACAAGGCTCTGTGCTTCACAGACGGCAGTCCGAGGGGGGGAGCAGGAAAAGAAGGCAGGAGCCACACAAGCGACTTTTCCAGTTTTTGCCCCCCGTATCACAGCTTCTTGAAAAGGCATCTCTCATCAAACATGGGCCCAGTAAGCTACGTCCTGATCACTCAACAGGCAGGCGTCTGCCACCCTCCCCACTCACTCCCTCCTCTGGACGCTTCTCAGCCCCTCAAGTCTAAGTAATGACAGTGGCAGACACTGTCACTACCTCTGCTGGGTTTCCTCACGGCGAGACCCATGGCTGAGGGAGAAGCAGGTGGAGGGCAGAGGCCTGTGGAGGATCAGAGCAGGGCTAGCCTGGCTGATGGGCTCTCACCTTGTGCTGAGGGGCCGCACCCGGGGACAGGGTGACATGGGCCTTTCTGGGGACAGCGGAAGAGGCTGGTGCCAGCCGGGGCTGGGGCACTCACCGCGCTTGGGCTTGGGGAAGCTGTCGTGCAGCCGGAAGACCACCTTCTCCACGAAGTGCTGGATTTCACACTGCTCGGGACCGCGGACGAACACCATCCAGTCATGCGTGAACCCCTCGGTGGTGGGCTTCTTGCGCAGTTGGGCGCGGTGTCCCAGCTCTAACTTGACCTGGACAGTGCACTGGGGGAGACAGAAGCGGGCACGGGGTCAGTGCAAAGCCCAGAGCAGGGCCTACAGAGCACAGGAAATGCAGGAACTCCCCAGGCCCACCCAAAGCGCGGGAAGAGCTCCCTGGGGCACGGGGCCTGTGTGAATGGCTTCCCACACTGTCCCCTCTTCCCAGGGACTCCACTGGGTCCCTGCATCTCCTCCATCGTCCTCCCCTTGCCCCTCCCCAGCCTGCCTCAGGGCCTTGGCAACTGTGGTTTCCTCTGCCTCAGATGATCTCCCCCAGGCCTTCTCAAAGCTGGCTCCTTCCTGTCACTGAGGTCTCAGCCTGACTGTCGCCTCCTCAGGGAAGCCTTCCCTGCCACCCAGTCTGAAAGCACTCCCTCATCACTCTTTATCACGCTGACGTCTCAGCATTTCCCACAATCGGAAATCATCCCCCTAATGGTTTTCTTGCTCTGCTCTTATGCTGGCGCATCGAAGGTGACTCGGTGCAGAGTATTAACCCTCACCATGATCTCCAGGAATACAACAGAGTGACCTGTAATGCAATTACAGTCGTCCCTCAGTATCCCTGGGGGACTGGTTCCCAACCCTGAGGATACCATATCAAGATCCACGGGTGCTCAAGTCCCTTACATAAAATGGCTTAGTGTTGACATATAACCTGCGAACACCCTCCTGCACACTTTAAATCACCTCTAGGTTACTTATAAAACTGGTACAATGTAAATGCGAGGTGAGTAGCAAATACATGTAAGCGCTACGTAAATAATTGTTGTAACACTTTTCAGCAAATTCAAGTTTTGTTTCTTGGAACTTTGTGGAATTTTCTTCCTGAATATTTTCGATCCACAGTTGATTGAACCTGAGGAAGCAGACCCACAGATGTGGAGGGCAGACTGTATACCTCGTTCTATGAACGAGGAAACCAAGGCTCCATGAGGGAGCTGCCGAGCAGCACCAGCAAGGTGGCTCAGCTAGGGTGGGCCAAGCCCAGGTGTGTGTGTCACTCCCTCAGTCACTCTGCCATTCTGGCCAACCCACCCAAGTCCGTGATTAAAGTATTTTCATTCTCCATTGTCCCACAAAGAGCCTTCTGGAGAAACAGAGAGCCTTGGGGTCACCCGAGTCATCTGCACACACGCTGGCTTTCCGTTTTAAAATTAGAATAGTGTTTCACAGTGAGGCTGGGAGGCAGGCATGAAGCCACCTGGGGACAGGGGCTGTGGACCCGCAGCCTGGGCGGCCAGGCTCCTTTCCTTATGCCCGTGGATCCGAGGCAGCACACACCAGCACCACTCCACTCCACAAGCAGCCATAACACTTCAAAGCTCCCGTACCACCGAGGCTGGCCAAAGCCACTGTTAGGGACCTACTGCACACACCCACACTGGTCTGTGAAATCCTCCCCAGACTTCACACAGATACAGCCTGACACCTAGTATCAAAGTCAACAATGTTACAAAGAAAGCACAGGCCAAGTGGACACTTGCTCCTAAGTGCTAAGATAACCAGGAGCAAGTTGACCGGCGACGTGGATCCCACACCTCCCAGACCAGAAACCTCCCACTCGCGCTTTCCACCCTCCCTCTCACCGCCTGGCCCCGGGCATCCCTGGGGCCACAGGCCCACCAGTACCCGCCTCTTCTGTGGAGCCAGAAACTGCATTCAGGCCCAGCCTCCTCTCGCTGCTCAGTCACCACCGGGGACACAGGGCAGACAGATCCTATCGCTTGCCCAGCTTCAAAGTTTTTGATGGCTTGCTGCTCCCTCAGACTAAACTCCCCAGGCCTCAGCACACCTGCCGTCTCCCACCTGCGTCTCCTCCAGTATGAGATGCTCATTTTCACTCTCTCGCCAGAAATCGGAGAGGATCTTGCAGAGCCTGTGTAAATGTCACATACACAAGGCCCCCCACCACACACACGTGTGTGCTCACACACAGAGAGGCTGTTGCTAAGTTGGCAGCCGGACTTCCAGGCGCAGAACTGAGGAAGCACAGGAAACACACACCCCTCCACTCCAGCTCAGCCAGACGCTAGCCATCCTGGAACACCCCGGGCGTCCGCTCCCATCCACCTTCGTGTCCCTACCCTGCAGCCCAGGGTGCCCCATGCTGACGTCTCTGCTGACTGCAATTCCACTCGCCCCTTAAGCCCTGGCTGAGTGCTACTCTCTCCAGAGCCCTTTCTGACCGATCACCATACTGGGAACCAACCAGGCCTGGGGTCTCCAAAGCAGTCAATGTACAACCAACTCCATGGTGCCCACTTCATCCCGACCCTGCACCTCACCGTCCACTGCTGTCTCCGGGGGCCACATCTCACTGTCCTTTTAACCTCTATGCTGGAACCATGCTGCACAAGGCATCAGCAACACTGAATTTAACTAAAGAGGCTCCCTAGATCAGTGAGTTCTAAGCAGTGCATTCCAAGAGGGAAGGGCCAAGATGACAGATAAGGACAAGGTGGTCTCTACATCTGGAAGAGCTGGCAGGAGACCATGGGTACTTAGCAAGCCAGCTGTGACAACAAGGCAGAGCTCCCCTCTGCCCGCACAGGATGACAGTCCCCATGAGGCTCCTAGGGAAAAGAACAGGGACCGCCAGGACCGGTCCACTGGTGGGAGGGGTGGGGACTGGGATGGAGCACTTAGATTGGACACAACAGAAATTACAGCCCAGCACATGCAGGTGATGGGTTCGAGGACACAGAAGCTGAGTGAAGGTGTCCCAGCAATTGTGCACAGTCTGGGCTGAAGGCAGAAAAGGACAGGCAGACAACAACGAGCCCGCTGGGAGGCAACCAAAGGAAGTGGCTGGAAAAGGGGCCCGAAATGGGAGAACTGGGAGGACTCAGGGTGGATGGAGGCGAGACCAGGAGACCCAGGCAGCTAGGATGCCTCGTGGTGGCTGGCCGGGTGGGCAGAGTGAGGAGTATGGCGACATTCGAGGGGAAACACTCACCAAAAACTACAGATGAAGGACTGAGTGTCTGGATAAACAAGTAATGTTCAAATCAACCACAAGCTTCGATCTGAAGAGCGATGCTTATGAACAACGTTCAAGATAACAAATCCAAACAATATTTACATAAATCCAAATAGGCTGTAATCACCACACACACTTACAAGTGTGTAAAGAACACTGTCTGCCCTTCTCTCAGACCTGTTTTCACATTGAGGAATCGGGAGACAATCCCTGGACTGCGGGGAGGGTTACAGGTGGAAAATCAGACACGCATAATCACAACAATACACTGGTACTTTAGAGTTAATCCCCCAGGTGATGAGATGTCACCGCAGATCCTGCTGTTCACCAGCCCAGCCGCCTTCCCAGCATTTCTGATCACGTGGGGTTCCTACCTAGGGCACACGAGCGGCAGAGCAGCGATTGTGAAAGAAGGGAAGACCACAGTTCCATCCAAGGGGGAAAATGGAAGTGCCAAAAAGACACTCTGAAGGCCAAAGTAAACAGGAAGGTTCTGAAGTGCGATGGGTAATCTTTGCAGCCGGCAGGCCGTGCCCAGAGCTCTGCCCGGGCGGCATCTCTGCCCTGGGGGCTGGTGCCAGCTCAGCCTTGACACCGCCCAGACCCCAGGTGCCAACAACTGCACACCCTGGGGCACTCAGGAGAGGCAATCTCCCCCGAATGCTAGAATCTTCTAAGAATTAAAGATGGTGGAATAACACAGATTTGGGGACACTATATTTGAAAAGAAATCACTGATTCAGTAAGACATTCAAGCTACACTGAGCCGGAGGCAAGCAAAGCTGAGCCCCGTGAACTATTTTGACTTGTCAAGTCCCGGTAATTTATTACACGGCTCAGCCAATTCCACCTCTGAGGATTCTCCCCCCTTCTTCCTGACTCCACCTGGACTCCTTCTCCGTCCATCAGAACCAAAGGACTGAAGCAGATCAGCGAGCTGTTTCTCCAGAAGGGCGCCTGGCTCGGGAGGCTCACTGCCGGCTGGGTTAGTAAGCTCATGGCTGTCTTGGAGTGATGAGTCTCACCTGTCCCGTGCCGCTGGGAGGCACTCGGCAGAACCTCCGGAGTGGACGGCAGGAAGTGGCGCCCAGGGCCCGGCCTCAGTCACCACCACATCCCAGCATTTGGGGGCCACTTCGCCACCCACGCCCAGAACAAAGGGGAACATTCCAGGCCAGCTCTGGAAAGAGTTAACCATTTTAATTCTGGAAAATCATCCCTAAGACCTGCAACAGAGATGAAGCAGAGACTTGACGGCTCCAAGGGCCATCTGGGGACAGTTACGTCTGGGCTGAGGGCCCCAGCTGGACACTGCCCCCTCTCCAGGCCAGCTGGCAGCAGGCAGTTTGAATCCAAGGGCCAGAATCCTAAGTCCTGCAAGCCAGGCGAATGGACCCCAGAGGGCGGCTTCCCGGCCACTTCTTCAGGAAGGAGCACAGCTCCCTCCAGGTATGGAGGGGGTGGGGTAGTGGAGACAGAGAGCCAGCCTGGGGCCAACAGCAACTCCCTCCCCAAAGTCCTTTCTTTCCCAGATCCTTCCGGCCCCTGCCCTCAGCCTGGCCTCTGAAGGCAGGTCTTTAACTAGTGAGTGCATCCGTAAGACTTCCCCAGATCTTCTGGTGGGAATTCACTTCAACAGATGCCCTTTCCTCTGGGAATTCGCACTTCACCAAGTGGCATAATTATGCCTGAAGTTTAGCTACTGCATCTAATTCCCTCAGATGCTACAATCCCTCCCCTTCCCTCCCCGGAGGGGAAAGCACTGAAAAGTCTTTTCCCTCATCAGCCTGAATTGATTCTGCCAAGTCCAACTGGACCCCAGCCTGGGGAGCAGCCACTGAATCAGAATGTGAGAAAGATGGGGAACGGACAGATATTCCTCCATGACAATCCTCTCAAGTGAGGACTGCCTGCCCAGGGTCAGGGCCCTCTCATGACAGTGGCAGGAGACCCTGGTCCTCTAAAGGCTAGCACACAGGGGCTGGTGGTCTGCCCTGCAACTCTTCTGCCTCCATCTAGCCTCATTCCTTTGACCCAGGGCATAAGATTAATGATAAAGGGACAAGAAAGGGCTCAATGAATGTGTCACTGGAAAGTCTCCAAGGATAAGTGTATAGCCCATGAGGATATGTACACCCACCCACAGTCCTTAGAGCTGTCAGGCTGCTGGGAAGCCTGACCCTCCCCAGGCCTGGCACAGGATGTATACTAAACATGCAGGGAACGCCCACAGATGTGCAGCGGATGCACACACAGCTGACGTGAGGCTGTCTCCAGATCTCCAGGAAGCAGTCTTGGGAGATTCTGAACACGAACAACCCCAATAAAGGCATCTGTCACCAGGCCAGGTGGGCCTGGTGACAGAGGGAGTGATTCCTTTTATTTAACCAACAGTCGGTGAGGCCAAGTGCAAAACTTTGCATTAGAAACTACGACGGACATAAAAGAGATCAGGACTCTGGTTCCCACTCTCAAGTACTTCACAACGTACTTTCCAATTTTAAAACCTGGAGGCTCGACTTTCCAGGTGATAGTTGCAGAGCTGGGTGGGGGAGGAGCCCGTCACCCATGTCGGTGCTCTGCACCCCTCCAATGTTCTCTCTGCTAGGTCGGGGAAAGAGCGAGAGCGACCTGAGCACCCCACCGGGCCTCAGTTCCTTGTGGGGCCTTCCTGGGCCCGCATTTCCACATCTGTAAAATGGACCCTCACTGTTAGAAACAAGCCTCCCTTCCAGAGCAACAGAGTATGGCCACGGGGAGCTGTCCCCAAACCCAAACCTAGGAGAGCCTTCTGAAAAGTCAGCAAGCTCAGTACAACTGTGGTTCAGCTGGTCGGCCACCCACCTCGGGAACCGGGCCCGATGGTTCTGTGAAGGGAGGACTCCCTGGTCCTTTGGGAAGAGGACCTCCCAGATGCTGACACCACCTCCAGCTCCTTAGGCGACCCCTGCCCCATCCTCCTTTCCCATTTTTCCAGCATCTTCTCAGTCTGCAACCACACCCATTCCCTCCCCACCATCTTTAGAGATAAACCACATGCCTCCCAGTCATGATCCCTGAGTGAGCAAAGACCTGCCCCTGCAAATACATCATCCCTCCTCCCCCCAAAAATACAAATCTCAAGAGGTGGGGGACTCAAACAGGTGGGGTACAGTCAGAGCAAAAGGAACCAGAAGGACTTTCTCCTGGGAACCCAGAGCAAAAACGCGAAATCCCCCTTCTCAGCTGGACCTGAAAGTTCTAGAGAATATAACGGGAAGGGAAAGAGAACCAGAGCCTCCCAAAGCAAGCAGGCCCTCAGGGGAAAGCCCTGTCAGTCCCCATCACACTGAGGCTGTTCTAGTCTTGGGGCACCGGGGGAGGAAAGAGAGGCTGATTCAAAGCATTATTCTCACACCAGAAGTCACGCTGGACCACTTACAGCCCGCTCACCTATTGGGACAAAAGACACCGTTCTCTCCTGTCTCCCCAGGGGCTGCTGTCCCTGTGAGGAATAGACACAGTTCCTGGGCCTCTCCCAAATTTGCATGATGGGGATGGAGAATCAGACTATGGGGCGGCACATACTTTCCTTCGGGGACAGGTTTCACTTGCAAATACGTGTGCAGAGATCCAGACCAGAGCTGACCTGCGGACCTGCTGCCTCGGTGGAAATGCGTTCTCTACGCTGACCCATAATGTGGCTGGCACCTCAGTAGTGGTGACTCCCGGGCCCTTAAAATGTGGCCAGTGCGACTGAAGAACTGACTTTCTCATTCGGGTCCGTTTAAGTTGAAACAGTCACGAGAGCTTGAGGCTGTCGCACCGGGTGGCGGTGAGGTCGCTCTCTGGCCCTGGGTGCTCACCACCTGGGTGCTCAGCACCTCTGCAAGGCCACCGTTTCCCTCTGTCCCAGACCAAGACCACCAACTCTTCTCACTGCTCCATGTACAGGAATGACAACCACCCAGAGAGCCAGGGCCCAACACATCACAACAGGGATGGACACACTTGGGCCTAAGACATGTCCCCGGGGGACCGGAGGGTGGGCCGAGAGGCAGGAGCCACATTCTAGGCCTGCGGGGTGCCCAATGAGACTTTCCCAGAGGTGGGCTTAGTTAAAAAAAAAGTGGACACTGAAGGTACATTTCATTTTCTTTCTTAATACAGATCGGAAGCAACAAGCTCTGCCCCTTCAAGGGAAAGGAACTCACACCACACCACCATTCAACTGTCATAAACGATTCCTTACCTCTCAAAAGAAAGGTACAATACCAAGGCTAAAAGGGAAGGAAATCATGGCAAGAGGGCGCCACAAGCACAGGCCTCAGCGATCCACGGGCAGCTGGACTGGGCAGGGGGGAGGTCTCCGTCCCCCACCCCTGAAACCCGACTGCCACACAGCACCTTACCAGACAGAGCCGCCTGAGTGGCGCCAGCAGCCAGGGACGCCCCAACCTGCCCTCACTTACGGTGGGGATTTCAGTTGCCACCCCCACAGCCCCATACCGCCTTTCCTGGCCCTACGCCCCTGGGAGCCAGAGGCAGCAAGGGAGAATGAAGAAATAAATGATCCAATCTTGGGGGCCGCAATGGTCCTGGGCCTCAGGAGGTGAAGGGGTTTGGGGACCCAAGAGGAAACAGCACAGAGCTGGTGAAGGAGGAACCAGGGGTGGAGGGCGGGCAGAACAGCCTTAGGTTCACCAGGATTAGCTCCAGGTTTCCAGATCAAAGGGAGAGGAGCTGTGGGGAGAGTTGATGGAGGCTGGAGAACACCTTGGGTTTGCAGCAAGGACTTCGATGGAGGCTCCAAGATGCTGGGGAAGGCAGAGAAAACGAGGTGTGTTGGGGGGAGAGGGTAGTGGGTCACAGTCTCAGCATCGGACTGGGGGATGCTGGGAGGAAGCAGGTGATCCTAAACATAAGGAGAGAGGCACAGGGGTTCTGGAGAGACTGCACCTCTCTGAAGGGAGGATAACTGAGGTTAAAGGAACTAGACTGAGAAAATCTGGACTGTGGGAAAATGTGGGGAAGCGTAAACCAGGGTCACGGGTGCAAAGAAGGCCTAAGTTGAGGGAGTGAAGCATTTGGTGTCTGCAAGGTTTGTGGGCTCCAATGCAGAGCAGAAATTGTCCCTGGGCCCGGTCAAAGAGGAGAGGGTCTGAAGGTGAAGAGACAGCCCCCTGAGGCCCTGGGGTCCACGGGAGAGTGGCCAGGGCTGAAACCAGAGGGAGCTGAGGCAGCAGGGTAGGTCAAAGGAATCTGAGGAAGACAGGCCCAGGTCCAAAAAGGCAGATGCTCAACGCAGGCCTGGGTCCTGGTGGGAAAAGACCCAGGACCCCGCCAGGGTTTGAGGAGAAACAGGCGCTCAGGTTGAGGCAGGATCAGAGGGAACAGAGGGCACAGGCCTGAAAGAGGATGACGGGAAAGGTTAGGGTGGGCCTGAGTCTGCGGGAGGAGGAGGCTGCAGACTGAGGTCCCAGGAGTACTGGGAGGGCTCAAACCCCAGCAAAGGTCAAATGTAGAGAAGAGGCGGCAGGCTGAGGGCTCATGGAGTTTGAGGAGACTCAGGGCCAAGGATCCAGAGGGGGAAGGAGACACCAACCGGCTCTGGATTTAGAGAGGAAAAGGGGTACAGGTCGGATCTGAGGGATCCCCGGGGGGTCTGCGGGGACTCAAGACTAGGCCAGGGTCCCGAGGGATGTCCCGGGGGGCTCTATGTCGGGCTGGAGTCACAAGAGGAGTCCCAGGGGGGTCTGGGCCCGGCCGGGGTCTCGAGGAACGACCCAGAGGGTTCTGGGCTGAAGTGGGGTCACAAGGGGCGTCCC